GTTAAAGATTTCGTAACACTTCAGGATTGTCCTGGGTGACATTGCACAGTGTTTCTCCTCCACCCATTGTTGTGTGATGTGTTCTATAGACACTTGTTTTCTGTCTTGCTGCCGCCCTCCAAGCCAGAAGTAGTTGCACTTCAGTGGTGATATGATTCCTGTGGGTGTTAAATTTACAACCTTTGTGAATATAAGTTAATTTCAAATGGCATGATTACGTTAGTCTTTTAGGCCTTAGGTCTTCAGGGCTCATCTACACTGCAGCGTTAGTTCAAAATAGCAAAGTGAACATCTACACAGCAAGCCCGTTACTTCGAAATAATTCCAAAATAACAGGCTTCTTATTCCAGAGTAATAAACCCTCATTTCACGAGGAATAAAGCCTATGCCGAAATAGTGATAGAAATGTAGCCGTGTTAGTCTGGTGTAGCTGAAGCAAAATACAGGATTATGTAGCACTTTAAAGACTAACAAGATGGTTTATTAGGTGATGAGCTTTCGTGGGCCAGACCCACTTCCTCAGATCAAATAGTGGAAGAAAATAGTCACAACCATATATACCAAAGGATACAATTAAAAAAAAAGAACACATATGAAAAGGACACCAAATTTCAGGACAGAAGGAGGATGCGGGGGGCGGGGAAGGTAAATGTCTGTGAGCTAATGATATTAGAGGTGATAATTGGGGAAGCTATCTTTGTAATGGGTAAGATAACTAGAGTCTTTGTTGAGACCCGCGCGCAAAGTGTCGAATTTTAGCATGAATAACAGTTCACGGGATTCCCTTTCAAGTGCAGTTTTAAAAGGCTTTTGAAGCAGGATGCAGGTAATGCCGTGTTAGCCTGGGGTAGTTGAAGCAAAATGCAGGACAATGTAGCACTTTAAAGACTAACAAGATGGTTTATTAGATGATGAGCTTTCGTGGGCCAGACCCACTTCCTCAGATCAAATAGTGGAAGAAAGTAGTCACAACCGTATATACCAAAGGATACAATTAAAAAAAAGAACAAATATGAAAAGGACAAATCACATTGCAGAACAGGAGGGGGATGCGGTGGGGGGGAGGGGGAAGGAAGGTAAGTGTCTGTGAATTGATGATATTAGAGGTAGGGAGAGTGGGATGTTTGTGAGTTAATGGTATTAGAGGTGATAATTGGGGAAACTGTCTTGGTAATGGGTGAGATAGTTCAAATGTTTGTTAAGTCCTTGTTGGCAAGTGTCGAATTTTAACATGAATGACAGTTCAGAGGATTCCCTTTCAAGTGCAGATGTAAAAGGTCTTTGTAGCAGAATGCAGGTGGTCAAGTCATTGAGAGAGTGTCCTTTCTGGTTAAAATGGCAAGAAACTGTTTTTTCTTTGTGATCTTGTCTGATATCTGTTTTGTGGGCATTAATCCTTTGGCGAAGTGTCTGAGATGTTTGTCCAATGTACATAGCAGACGGACACTTTCGGCACATGATAGCATAAATTATATTTCTGGATGCGCAGGAATATGTGTTCTTGATCTTATAACTCACTTGGTTAGGTCCAATAATGGTATCAGCAGAGTGAATATGTGGACAAAGCTGGCAACGGGGTTTGTTGCAAGTAAAGGTACCAGGGTTGGTATTAGTGTGGTATGTCCTGTGGTTGTTGGTAAGAATCATCTTGAGGTTAGGTGGCTGTCTATAGGAGACTATGAGTCTGTCTCCCAGAGCCTCTTGGAGTTTGGTATCATCTAATAAACCATCTTGTTAGTCTTTAAAGTGCTACATAGTCCCGTATTTTGCTTATGCTGAAATAGTTATTTCAAAATAGGGCATGGGTAGACGGGGCAGCTGTGGTTATTTCGAAACAAGTGGCCTCCAGGGATTCTTCCGGGTGCCCTGCTGGCCACTCTGTCCATGCTCATCTGGACTCTATAGTTCCCCTTCCCCTGCAGGCTTTAAAGCTGCAGCCACAGGGAAACAGTTTGTGGCACACAGCAGGCCCAGCCAGCACCATGTTACACAGCAGCACCCAGCTCTGCCTAGCCTGTTGCATGTGTGGGAGAAAAATCAAATAACTCCAATTGTGTCTAAGGGGGGACTGTGCAGGAAATCAAAACTTTCTAAAAGAAAACTGCTGTAAGGGTTAAAAGTTTTCCAGGCCTCTCTCCCTGTAACAGAGAGAAATCAAATTAGGTCTAATCAAGACCCTTACAATGCCTGCTATCTCAACTTCATGAAGACTCCTAGTCTGTCACAATTTGTCATGTAAACTCTTATCTTTGTCACAGTTTGCCTTGTAGGCTCCTCACTCAGGTTCTCATGTGCTTGGTGTAAACAGAAACCTCTCAGAGTACTTCTGCTGAGACTTTGATATGTTAAAGCAAACAATTAACAACTAAACTGTCTGGCTACGTCTACACTGGCATGATTTTCCAGAAATGCTTTTAATGGAAAAGTTTTCCATTAAAAGCATTTCCGGGAACATTGCGTCTAGATTGGCAGGACGCTTTTCCGCAAAAGCACTTTTTGCGTAAAGGCGTTCGTGGCCAATCTAGACGCAGTTTTCCGCAAAAAAGCCCCGATCGCCATTTTCGTGATTGGGGCTTTTTTGCGGAAAACAGTACTGTGCTGTCTACACTGGCCCTCTTGTGCAAAAGATTTGTGCAAGAGGGCTTTTGCCCGAATGGGAGCAGCATAGTATTTCCGCAAGAACACTGACGATCTTACATGAGATCGTCAGTGTTCTTGTGGAAATTCAAGCGGCCAGTGTAGACAGCTGGCAAGTTTTTCCGCAAAATCATCTGATTTTGCAGAAAAACTTGCCAGTCTAGACACAGCCTGTGAGCATACTGTATAAAGGATCCCTGAGCCTGTCTCTCAGGGCTGCTGCTGTTTTCACTCTGGTAGCTGTCAGCCTATATGCATGCATAATAAAGTTTTCCTTCTAGATTTCTCTCCTTCCTCACTGCTTTGACCTCCAGCCTCGGACCCTTCTGGGCACTCTGTACCCCAGGGGAGCAAGATTTCCCCAACACATGGCAGACCCCAGAGCTCAATCTGAGCCCCCTCACAGCTGTGAGCACAGCTCCAGACAGCTCCTAAGCCCCAGCCCCAGGGAGGAGGAGGCAGGTTCCATACTGGACAGGCAAACTTCCAGGATCTCTGCACCAGGCGCAGGAACGCCTATGTCTCCAGTTGGATGGCTGGCAGCCTGGGCCAGAGGGGATGCAGCCGCACACAGGAGCAGGTGTGGATGAAGGTCAAGGATCTCAGGCAGGCCTATTCCAAGGCCAGGGAGTGCAACTCCCGCTCAGGGGTGGCACCGCAGACTTTCCAGTACTATGACCAGCTCCATTGCATCCTGGGAGGGGGGGTCAGGCCCTTTCCTTTGCTTGCTGTGGACGTTGGGCGGGAGATGCCCATTGTCACCCTCCCAGAAGGCAGGCAGGCCTGCAGCCGCGGAGCAGGAGCAGGACCAGGCCATGGATTCCACAATGCCTGCCAGCTAGGATCTCATCCTGTCTTTGGAGCCGGTACCACCCTCTCAGGATGTTGCCCAGGAATTGGACGATGCAGGGCAAGGTCTATCAAGTGAGCTCCATGACTGTCCCTAGACACACACGGGGGAGGGAGGAGGGTGTAGGTAGCGGGTGGCGAGAGACTGCGCGCTCCTGGCTCAGCCTTCTCGGCCTGGGCATCACGCAGCAGGTTGTGCATGTGGAATGCCAGTCAGAGCACACGGCTGCAATGAGGCTGCCTTGGGCTGTGCATGTGGAGTGCCAGTCAGAGCACACAGCTGCAATGAGGCTGCCTTGGGACCCATGTGCTCCTGCTCACAGGGTTTCTGGAGAGGCCGGCCTTACTCCCAACTCCATGGTGGGACAACTTCGCACCACAAGTCTCCACCAGGGACACACACACAGCAGTGCCGCACATTGCACATAGGCAAGCCCGCACTTGGGGCAATATCCACTCCCGGGCAAGCACAGCGAGGCGAAGGACACTGAGCCCCTTCTAGGGGAGCCTGCTGGGAGGGGAAGGAAGTGGAGGGGACCCCAGTAGGACCCTCCCGGGCAACCGGCATCTGCCGCTCTCACACAGCTCCCCCAGCACCCTTCCCCTCGCCCTCCCCTCCAGCAGGCAGAGATACAAGTCCTCTCCCTGTGGGACACGGCCACTGTCAATCCCGGCGTAGGCACAGCATGGAGGGAAGCTGAGCTGCCCCATCGCCTCCCTCCTGCCTGCAGACGCCCAGCCTGGCTGGCACCTTCCCATGCCTGCTTGTCCCCAGGATGTGGGAGTAGTGAGGTTCTGTCTGGAGACATCTGTGCCCCTACCGGAAGGGCCCTGTGTGTAGGCCACAGATGGCCTTGCTCCAAGCACATCACCTTCACGGACCCGAGACCTCTCGGTGTTGGCTCAGAGATGAGGGCTAGGTTTCAGGCACCCTGTCTCTGGGGATAACTGCCCTTCTCTTTGTCCTTCACAGCTGGACCAGCTGCAAGAAAGGCACCTGCAACACCTCCCGCGCCAGCCTCCCGACCCCGTGGGAGCCCCTGCTGCAGCCGAGCTTGTGAGGACCTGGGACAGGAACACGTCACCTGCCTGCGTGGCCTGGACTGGCAGGACCAGCAGTGGGTAGCAGACCAGGCGCTGCACCACAACACCTGGCGGGAGCTGGCCCAAGAGGCCTGCAGCATGCGTGTGACACACACAGCTGCAATGAACCGCATGGTCGCTGCCATAGAGTGGTCTAGCAGCTATTCACCTGCTCCTCTGCCCGGTCCTCTGGCTTCTCCCCTGCTCCTCCCCCAACCCCCACCGTAGCTTCCAAGGGCCCCACACAAGAGGTGGTGGGATCGCCCGAGGCAGGCATCAGTCCCAGCTCTATCCTTGAGCTTCTCCTCCCCCTCCTCCACCTTTCACCTCCTTGCTCCCCCCTCCCAGGTTCTTGCCCCAGTCTCCCTGCCCCCAGTTACATTTACCCCAAATAAAAAACACAATTTATTCTTTGAAAACAAAGGTCTGATTTATTTTATCAGAGGCGGAGAAGGGAGGAAGGGGGTGAAGGGAGGGGGAAGAAAGGCACAGGGGGCACTGCAGAGGCCGCTTATGGGGAGACCAGGGGACTGTCTCATAGCTGGTCCTGGCTGAAACTCTCCTTCAGGGCTGCCTGGATGTGCACAGCCCCCCAATGGGCCTGCTGGATGGGCAGCTGTGCATGGCTGTTCAAAGGCCCTGGTGAGCCACTCGGCCTTTGCTCCCCCCACCCAGGCAGGAATGTTTCCCCCTTGTTCTCACAAATATTGTGCAGAACACAGCACACCGCCACCATCTGTGGGACGTTCTGCTCACCAAGGTCTAGGCAAGTGAGAAGGCAGCAGAACCTCCCTTTGAGATGCCCAAAGGTGTCCTCCACCATGATGCAGGCCCTGCTGAGCTTGGTGTTGAACTGTTCCTTAGTGGGGCCCTAGTGTCCAGTGTAGGGATTCATAAGCCACAGGAGCAAGGGGTAGGCAGCATCCCCCACTATGCACATTGGCATATCCACATCCCCAACCCTGATGGTGTGATTGGGGGAAAATGTGCCGGTGTGCATCTTCTGGAACAGGCTGGAGTTGCAGAAGATGCAGGTGTCGTGCCATCTTCCCTGACCACCCGACATTGATGTCTGTGACGTGGCCCTGGTGGTTCACGACAGCCTGCAGGACCATAGAAAATTACCCCTTCCAGTTGATGTAGTCCGATGCCTGAGGGTTGGGGGCCTTGATGGGGATGTGGGGGCCATCAATGCCTCACCCCCTGTGGTTGGGGACGTCCATGGCAGCAAAGTTGCTGATAGTGGAATCTACATCACCCAGGAGGATGGATCTAGGTCAGTAGGATGGTGTTGATGGCCCTCACCACCTGTAGAGGGAGACAAACAGGGAATCGCTGGGTTGCCAGGTCCCTCGGGAGGTCCCTGAGGCCAGCCACTCTTCTCCCTTACACCAAGCCCAACCCCCACTAACCCCATCCCCTGGCAGGCCTTTATGAGGCTGAGACTGAAAAACCTTCCAGGAGGGAGCTTCTACCACCACCACCTCCTCTCCTACGGATCCCCATTCCAGCAGGTCACCCTCCCATTAACACAGTAAGAGAGTCAAACCTGTATGAGCATGACCCCAATGATCACTCTCTCCACGCCAACCATGGTCCCTGACAGAACAGTAGCTGTCCGGCATGGCGCATTTCCACAGTGTGATGGTGACCCACTTCTGGAGAGCGGTGGCGGGTCGCATGTGGGTGTCCTGTCGCCTGAGGGCAGGAGCGAGCCACTCTCACAGCTCCTGGAGGGTGTCCTTCTGCACACGGGAGTTGTGGAGCCATGGCTGGCTGTCCCACCGCTCCATGACGATCCGGTCCCACCAGTCGGAACAGGTGTCTCGTCGCCAGAAGCGGTGGTGCACAGTGCGCAGGGGAGGATGGCAGGGGCTGGGGTGCATGAGCAGCACATGGAGAGGGGTGAAGATGTGCTGCGCAGGGAGTGGCTGGTCCCGTTCCTGCAGTGCCACAAGAGCCGCCTGCAAAAACTGCACCAGGAGGTGCCGTATGAGATCCAGGAGCTGGTGACTGCTTTGCAGTAGGTCTGGCTGGAGTGCTGTGGTGTCTGGAGAGCAGGCCATGGAACGGAAGGTAGGCAAAGGAGAGGAGCCTGAGACATGACTGTACAAGGGGTCCCTTTGAGTAAGAACCTCAGATAGCCTCAGGCAGCAGCTCCAGGAAGTGTCTGCTGTCCTGATGCCCTGCCTGAAACGCTTCTGGGGAGGCCTTAAATGCGATTGAGGCTCCAGTGCATGTGGACGCTCTGTTTCTAAACAGCGCCGTGCTATTTCGATGGGCATTTGCAATGTACTCTCACTATTTTGAAAGAAGCTATTTTGGAGTTTTTCTTCCGAAGTAGCTTCCTCTGCAATAAGGGTGCAGCAAGTGGTTAACTGCCCGAACCCGCAGTAGTATGTGCATGGGTGATGCTATATCTCAGCCTCCCATAACCCTGGCATCCTCCAGCCCCGAGAGCCCCCGCTCTCACTGCACCTCTCCTTTGAAACTAGAGGCACTCTCCTTCGGCTGGCTGCCAGGGACCAAGGCTGCCAATGGAGGCTCCGTCTGGCTGGTAGCCCAGTGCTTGGACTCCTGCTGGGGCAGGCTGACACACAACTGCAGTGGGACAGCTGAGGCTGGGGGGCCGGTGCTATTCTGGCCCCAGCAAGGGAGGGGGTCTTATGGCCACAGGCAAGGGAGGCCGCCCCAGGCCCCGCCCCCCCAACCAGCCTATGGATGGGAGGGCCCTGTGGGATTATGGGATGCCTGACTTGAGGCAGCAACACGGTCTCCCCCACATTCACTGGGGTGGCGGGAGCTGGAGCGACCCAGCAGCCTGCTCCGCTCTGCCCAACCCCACCCCACCCCACTGCCTTCTCCTGGGGGAACAGCGCGCTCTGGCCCCAGGGAGCTCCACTTTCCGCCACCATGGAGCAGCAGGACAAAATAGAGCAGCCCAGCTCCCGCCACCCACATGGCGAGTGTGTGGGGGAGGTGACCTGGCTGCTGCCCCACACCAGGCCCCCTGAATTCACCAGACCGCATTGCATGGAGGAGGGCAAAAGGGCAGGGCTTCAAAAAGGGGTATGGGTGGGGGCAGTGCAGTGCCTGCGCAGGGGCATGATTGTCCCAGGCATTGTGCCTGGGACACTGAGGGGGGGGCACCCCAGGTCATACCCCCCCCCCCTTGGTTTGGTCTTGGCCATGGAAGAAGCTTTGAGTATGTGAAGGAGTACTTACCTTAGCCCACGGGTTTTGCTTCAGTTCTTGCTGCACTGGCATCAAGCGGTTCTCATACCTTCCCTTTTTGAGCTAACGGGAAGGGCTCACACAGGCGCCACAGTCCTGGTCTGCTGGGTCATGACAATTTCTGTCTGATCACGTGTCTTTGCAGAGGTGTTGTAAGCTGTGCTGATCGAGAGACAAAGTGTGTGAGGTCATATTTTTAGTGGCCCCACTGTTAGTTGCCGAAGCAGCCTGACAAGCTTTATGAGCTTACACAGAGCTCTTTTTCAACTCTGTGTGAGCTTGAATGCTTGTCTCTTTTACCAGTAGAAGTGGGTCCAATAAAATATATGACCTCCCCCACCTACTCTCGCTAGGATCAATATACGTGATTAAGGGTGTTATTTGGTGGGGTTAAGTCTCATTTGAAAGTAAATTCTGAATCTAGCACTAAGTACTTCATGGCCTACATCAGCAGAGTATAGACTCCCCACTAAACATGTGTTTGCATTCGATGTGTGAAGATCGGCCTCTGTGGAGTTGATTCATCGGCGCATGCTGGTTTCGACCCATGCAGGCAGCAAGCAGCACCAAAGACACCTAATGCTGTTATTGAACATCCAAATTTAGCTGCCATAATGACAAGCTAGAAGTTTGTTAAACTGCAATTCATTTCAGTGGTACCCTCTTCTCCGATTCTATCCCGGCTAATCAGACCTTACGATAACTACCCGTAATGGAGTGCTCCCATTGCTCCTAAGGAAGCCTCAGGTTAGCACTTGTCACTAGATGATCTGTGGGTAGCACCAGCACTTGTGATCACCCTCCAGGGTGCTAATGTTCACAATTGACCTTCAGATAGCATGACCCACCCCTGGAATGAATGACACGGAGATAAAGCACACGCCCACAGTGTCGGAGGCATGAAATAAGAGGGCATTGTTTTTCTTAGCATCGTCTCATTGTAGTGTCATCAACTTCTTGCAAGAACCCAGTGGAGCGGCGACAGCAGGTGATGGCAGTGAATCTAGCTGAATGATGAAGTTCCCTGAATACAGTGACCACATGGCTAGGAGATGAAGTCCTAATAGAAACAATGCCAGCCTTGCTCTCAGCTGTGCCACTGGCTTCCTATGCAATCTTGAGCCAGTCTCTTAACCACTCCATGCCTCAGTTTCTCCATATGCTAAAGGGAAATATTTTGTTACCTGCCTAAGGCTTTGAGCACCTGAAGTCATGTTCTCCCATATGGCCAGGCAATCATAGAATCCTAGGGTTGGAAGAGACTTCAGGAGGTCATTGAGTCCAACCCCCTGCCCAAAGCAGGACCAACCCCAACTAAATCATCCCAGCCAGGGCTTTGTCAAGCCAGGACCGAAAAACCTCTAGGAATGGAGATTCCACCACCTCCCTAGGGAACCCATCCCAGTGCTTCACCACCCTCCTAGGTGGCCTCTGTGGAGTTGATTCATCAGCGCATGCTGGTTTCGACCCATGGAGTGCTTCACCACCCTCCTAGGGAAATGGAGATTAGAAAAAAACTAACCTAGACCTCCCCCACTGCAACTTGAGACCATTGCTCCTTGTTCTGTCAGCTGTCACCACTGAGAATAGCCTCTCTTAATCCTCCTTGGAACCTCCCTTCAGTAGTTGAAGGCTGCTATCAAATCCCCCCTCACTCTTCTGTTTCGTAGACTAAATAAGCCCAAATTCTTCAGTCTCTCCTCGTAAATCACATGCTCCAGCCCACTAATCATTTTTGTTGCCTTCCACTGGCCTCTCTCCGATGCACCCACATCCTTTCTGTAATGGGGCCCAGAATTGGATGCAATACTCCAGTTGTGGCCTCACCAGTACCAAATAAAGGGGAATAACCACTTCCCCAGATCTGCTGGCTATGCTCTTCATAATGCAGCCCAATATGCCATTAGCCTTTTGGCTACAAGGGCACACTGTTGACTCATCCAGCTTCTTATCCACTGTAATCCCCAGGTCCTTTTCTGCAGAACTGCTACTTAGCCAGTCAGTCCCCAGCCTGTAACAATACTTGGGATTCTTCCTTTTCCTTGTTGTACCTCATCAGATTTATTTTGGCCCAGTCCTCCAACTTGTCACTCTGGGCCCCTTCCCTGCCTTCCAACATATCTACCTCTCCCCCTAGCTTAGTGTCATCCACAAACTTGCTGAGGGTGCAATCCATCCCCTCATCCAGGTCATTAATGAAGATGTTTCACAAAACTGTCCCCAGAACCGACCACTGGGGCACTCTGCTTGATACCGACTGCCAACCAGACATCGAGCCATTGATCACTACTCATTGAGCCCGATGATCTAGCCAGCTTTCTATCTACCTTACAGTCCATTTATTCAATCCATACGCATTTAACTTGCTGGCAAGAATACTGTGGGAGACCATATCAAAAGCTTTAAGTCCAGGAATATGACGTCCACCGCCTCCTCCACATCCACAGAGCCAGTGACCTCATTATATCAGTTGGTCAGGCATGACTTGCCCATGGTGAATCCATGTTGACTATTCCTGATCACTTTCCTCTCTCCCAAGTGCTTCAAAGTGGATTCCTTGAGGATCCCCTCCATGATTTATTTCAGGGACTGAGGTGAGGCTGACTGGTCTGAAGTTCCCTGAATTCTCCTCCTTCCCTTTTTAAAAGATGGGCACTACATTTGCCTTTTTCCAATTGTCCAGTCATAAGAATGAGTTATTTACCCTGATTAGGCAACACAGATAAACCCCTCATTTTACTGAAGTGACACGCCACAGAGGGGAAGAAGAGTATTTCATAGAAGCTGTCACAGCTAGAGGGAAATTATTAGGAATCAGCACATTTCTATTTCCAATTGACAAGGAACAGCGAGGGGGCGGGGCGGGGCAGGAAGAGAACTGGGTCATCAGTATGTTCCACAGGCTTTCTGACAAACTTAATTACTTCTGTATATTTCCTGTCTTCCTAAATAGGTTTAAACCTGATTAGGGTTAATTTTCCATTCGTGGTAAGAGAGATCATCTAGCGAGATTGAGCTTGGAATATGTTTTTTGGAGTGAAGAGTATGCGCCGATACTGTATACCCTAGGAATAAATTCATAAGCTTTGCTTTAGACATCATGAGAGAGAAGAAAATCTCGCTTGCTATAAGTATCACGTTACTGGTGATATGGGAAACTCATCCCACTGGCTTTGTATATGTCAGTTACCTACAAGAGGGGGTTTCATTTTTAATTCAGTTAAACCCAAATGCTAATGATTATCTCCAATAGGCCAAGGCACATCTCACCCACCAGTACCTACACATACCTCATTTCACTTCCAAGCTTCCCAACTGTTCCACCTCTCTGATGTCCCCTGTAGCATGGAAGAGTTGGTGGACACAAAAGCCGAGTCATGGGTTCATGTGCATCATCTTTCTGATGGAGAAGAAGGGCTGCTGCAGGAGATAGGAGGAACTAAAACATTCGTGGAACACCCTTACTGAATTCCCAGAGGGGATTAAAAGAATCCAGTCTGACCAAGTTAGCTTCATGTTTTTCCTTTTGGAAAAAGCTTTCCCACCAGAATACTTCAAAAGGGGGAAAAATCCATCCTTCTCCCCTCACCAAGCAGAGCTTGCCATAAGAGAGAAAAGCAAAAAGCTGAAGATGCAGTAAAGTACACCTCCCCCGACCTGGTTAACTTGGGGGTCAATTCTACCAGTTTGCTCTCGGATTCCATTCACATAAGTAACCGTTTAGAGGCTACATCCATGGGCGGTGGGTGAATACCCAGCTGGGGAAAACGAGCCCCAGTCCTGTCCTTCCTCCCTAGGCCCCACCCCTTCTGCATCCTCCCCCAAGGAGCTACACCTAGTCCCCACCCCAAGTTACTGTCACCAGCCCCTAAACATCCCCAGCCTCCAAGGTCTCCCCCATCCCAGCAGATGGCACGCAGCCCCCCGCTTCCTAGTTAGCTGGAGCACCTGGCAGCCAGAGACCTGGGAAACTGCACTGCAGCTTGATCTTTCCTGGACAGCCAGAGGGGCCAGGCAGCCACCCTGTGGCTCTATCCCTCCCAAGCAGCCAGAAGACCAGGCAGGAGCGTACACAGTTTTGGGAAAGCAATGCCTTCCCTTGCCTATGTCACCCATAGCCCATGGTGTTACCAGATTTGCCCAATACTCTGGGGTATGTTCATTTATTAGGGTTACTCTTATGGGACTGGGGGGAGGTTAACAATTCTATCAGTGTGCTGTTTGTGCTTACTTGTGCTCTCATATGGAGCTGAATTCTCCCTGCTGCCAATTCCCCCTCCTACTGGAGCTCTCCTGCAGAAATTAGGTTCGTCAGGATGAGGTTCTTCCCACCTTAGCAACACACACAGACACTCACACCCACTAACAGACCACATCTGAGAATACTGGGTAATCAGCACTCATAAGCTGATCCCTCATATGTCCCTGGACTCAGCAGGCTGAGTTTAACAGTAATGCCATGCAGTACCCTCATGTGCTTTTGGACTCAGTGGGCTGGATTAAACAGCACTTTAAGCTGCCATCCTCATATGCCCCCAGGTTCAGCACCCCCTATCCCCACTTTCACACCACAGTCATTCACTAGTAAACCCCACAGGATTTTGGCACTACAGAGATCTTTAGTTTGGGTACAAGAAGCATTGTTGCAGAGCGAATGGGGAAGCCAAAACAACACTCCCTGAGGAAGAGTGAGCGAAAGAGAAAGAAAGAGAGAAGCAACCAGCTTAACAATGAGGCTGTGTCTAGACTGGCCAGTTTTTCCGGAAAATCAGCCACTTTTCCGGAAAAACTTGCCAGCTGTCT